GTGGATTCTGTTTTCTTAGTGGAGTGCAGGTCCCCTGCTGCGAATGTGTTAGGTGTGGGGTGGGGTGGGAGCTAGGGGTGGGCTGTTGATTATTCGTCTTTGCATAGGGTAACCATCCGAGCCCAGGAGTGGGAAGGAGCAAGGCCAGTAAGCTGAGGCAGTTAGGGACATTGAATTTAGGTCTGTCGTCTTGAATACCCTCAAATCCAATTCCTGGAGGTACCTCTCTGTCTGTGGCTTTCGGAACTTTCTGGAGTCCACAGTGTCTTGTAGGGCACAGCTGTCTGTAAAGTCATGTGTCTGTTACTGCCCCCCCCCACCCTTGCATCTCCTCACCCCTGATGGTCACTGACCTTGGGCAAGGTCACAGCAAACATGAGTGTCCCCGTGGTTTCCCGGCCAACCTCCCTCTTGTGGGCTGGCTGCCACATCACGGGGCTTTGTTGTTCTAAACGAGTTAGACTCTTTTGCACGGTGAAAGGATCTTCATTTGCTCTGGAGGGAAGTGATCTGCTCAAGGATAAATAATTCTGTTTGTTGTTGACATTAATAAATGTCTCATATAGTGTTACCTGGAGACAGAGTGTAGCTACACTCTTGGCCAGCGAAGCATGAGGGACAAGCTTGTTGAATCACTGTTGTTACACCTGAAACCAATGCAACATTGTGTCAACTCTTCTTCCAGAAAAAAGTAATAAAAAAATGTCTTCAGGAGAGATCTAAAAAGTGGTGCTCTCTGTTTCCTTGGAATTCGGTGAAATATTTATTTTTTACAACCAGGAATGTTTTCTTTTCTCTGTTGTCTTTCCATGATGCTGCTTTTGGGTTTTTCTGGTATCTTCCCGAGAAGCCCCACTATCTTTGTTGAACAACCAATATGTGACTCACGTGTTTGCAGCCTGGCCCCGGCCGTTTTTATTTCTTTGTGTTTAACATTTACCTTTAGGGAAAACTTCCAACGTTCCCCATCTCATTTGATAAAATTCAATTTTCTGCTTTTTCAAATCTGTTTTATTACCTCTAGAACCATTTTAAATCCCTTACTTTTAATACTGCCAGATCTTCTTCCCTCTCAGCCTTTATTGCTTTATGAATAACAAAGGGCCTGTGTGGTCCACATGGTTGAGGGCTTGAAAGTTATTCTGTGTAAAAGGCACTTCCATATTCTTCGGTAAATATTCTTCAAAGCTGTGTTGTTCCTCTACCTCCGGAATGCCTTCTTAAATGTTTTTCTTTTATTTTGCAGCTTTTGTGTATAGATCCCATTCCTCTTCTGCGGTTTGTTTGTTTACTTGCTTCTCTTTGGCTAGCCTTCTACGAGGGTAGTCTCATGCAGGGCAATTTCCCTTCGCATAATGGAGTGTGTTCTCTTTGTCCCTGGTTTTCACTTGCTCCTATTAGAGTTCACACCAAACATTCACCCGGAGGGGCCTGCTGATCCTGTGTTACCGTGTTGTGCCCCCACGGCTTGTAACATGAGCCCTGTGAGGGCGCATCGGGCTTGTTGATACTCCCAGCAGGGGGACCCAGGGTTCCAAAGCTCCTGTGCTCTGGACTAGATTAGGGTTGGCCTGGACCCATCCCAGCAGCACAAGGAGGTGACGTCACACCTCCTGTTCCTTGTTAGCAAGACACTCTGACTCTTTGGGGCTTTCCGTGCAGGTGGCCAGGCTTCCTCTTTGGTCTCTGAACTCAGCTCATTGCAAATGTTGCCTACCAGCCTCAGGAACATCACCAAATGTGGGGCGACCACGGGGTGCATGGCTTTTGCTCTTAGAAATATCAGGGGAGTTTCTGTCAGGCTGTCTGCTCTTTTCTTTTTATGACCTCATGCTTAGGGTTGCCATATTTAGCAAATAGAAATACAGGACCCCCCCAGTGACATTTGACTTTCAAATCAACAACAAATTTATTTCCTTTCTCTTAAGCACATGCCCCTGCAATGTTTCTGTTTATTGGAAATTGAGACATAATTGGGTTCCTGTATTTTATTAACCGTGCTGTATTTTTTGCATGTAGCATTTGCGTCCCATGTGACTTCTCAGGAATTTCCGTGGTTCCTGTCTGGCAGACTGAACTTCATGTGATTCTTTACCTGCTACCCTATCCCCTCAGGTACTGCCTTTCGGTCGGCCCAGGGGAAAATGTAAAGGTCGGTGCTCAAATTGCCATCTTCCCCATCTTCCTTGAAAGTGTTTAGGGAAAAAATTACGTTTTCAAAAATGCTAAAATTAATATAAAATTGCTCCAAAGCCACTAAATTGCTTTAAGATGGAAACATAGCGCTTTCCTTTAAATTAGTGTTTAAGGCCATGGCATCGAAATCAGATGTAATTTTTTCTTAATGGGTTATTAATTGAGATTTACTGGTTATCTGACATCTTCCTCATGTTTATGTAGGATTGGGGTTTGTAGGTTATAAGAGCTGCCCCTGTGGGGATTCAAGGGTATTGAGTTTTGCTTCTTAGTCCATTCTGTGTGTTGTGGAACAGAATTGGCATTATTTTAGTCATTTTGTTAAAAAAAAAAAAGAATAAAGGATGTATAAGTAAATACCATGAGTTTTAGGTCAACTTGGAGCACTTTTAAGCAATAAGCATTGAGGTCAGATACCAGGAAAAAGACAAACAGGCCATCTGTGCAAGAAAGCTTAGAAATTACTTCCCTTTCAGGGATGTTTGCAGTGACCCCCTATTGCTTTCCCGAATAAAGTCAGAGGACCCATGGTCATTGTCCTTGGAATATGTAATCACTTGCACAATTAAGTTTGGTGTCCTCACGGAGTAGGGGTCCGGTGTTCGACAGGAGAGTGCACAACGGTGTTGATGTCTAGTGTGGGCGTGCAACTTCGTGGTTTGGTTTTGGCAGTTTCTGGAATGAATGAGAAGCTGGTGTGAGACAGCTCAACGCAGTTGTTCCGAGGAGTGCCAAAGTGTATTTTTAAGAATCAGGAGACACGGTGTCATTGATGTAGGTCTTTTAAGGGATCTCATTGTGTGGAGAAGCTTCTATCTTCCTTGGCCCCAAATGGCTACAATTACGTGGAGCTCTTGATGGGATCGAGGATTCTAATTACAGAGAGATGGCAGAGAGAACACAACATCCAAAATCCTGCTGTAAAAATATAATCCGCTCTTTGTAATATTAATGTCATAATTCCTTTGTTGATCCATCTGTTCATGCATTTATCAAATACTGATATTTTTCCAGGCGCCCTCCTAGGGACTGTGAAAACATGGAGCAAAGGACCCAGCACCAGTCACCGGGAGCATTGCAGAGAAGTGACTTTATCATGCCTCCAGGGAGTGGCAGGGATATATCAGAGGGTGAGGAGGAGTCACCAGTGAAGGGATGAAGCATTCGGTGCAGAATATTAGCAGAAAACCCACCCCCTGTTCCTCGCTTTCACTAAAACTCACATGGGAAAGTAGAGGGTTATATGAAATAGGACTCCTGAGTGATTTCCAGAAAGTTTAAAAAATGTAATCCTGTTAATGAATGAAGTATCTGGTTATGCCTATGATATTTTTGTGATTTGGGGGGAAGAAATTCCTATTTATTAGGTTGAACTATATGAAATCACTGCTGGGGTCAGTCCAGATGGCTCACTTCTCGGCAGTTTCAAATGGTTCAGCACCACACAAACCTTGGTTGCTTCCTTGGGGTCAGCCTGGTGCAGGTGTGGTCATGCCACTGAATTGAGGGTGGTCTTCCCTGGGGGCTGTCTGCGCACTCAGGACGAATGTGCGTGTCGAACTGGAGGCTCGTCCAGAAGTGGAATGAATGCAGCCTCTCGCTCTGCGGTGTCGCAGATGGGCGGGGCTCCGATGCCCTGGTCGGGCCCTCATGCTGCACACCAGCCCCGCGGAGGCCACGCGGTTCAGTGACCCGTCATCTGGGAGCATGCGCGGCAAAGCCATGCACAGGACCCCGTCTCTGAGTTCTCCGCTTTCTCCTCCGCTCTCATTGCCGCCGGGGTCCAGACTCGGGTGGGCGTTACGCATCAGAACAGGTGTCCACGGGGACCTTTGAAGCAGGTTGGCACAAGGCATGTCAGGGCCCGAGTTGCTTTCATTGCAGAATAACCAGAGAGAATCACATGGCTACTAATGAGCAGGGCTTTGTACGACTTGTGGAACTTTGCCTAGAAAGTCAGTGTTCCCAAAGCCAATAATTTCCATTTCTAAAACCGTTAAATTGGTTCTTGCATTGTGTAATTTCTGTGTCTGTTTTTCTTACGGAAAATAAGGCATACTGTAAAAATAGCAGTTTGGTTGTTTTTTTTTTTTTTCTTTCTCCCCTGATACAGGGATATGTTCAGTAAGGAAAAAAAAAAAAAAAAAAAGAATGCCTTTTGTGCTCTGGGTTCCAAACAGCTTTCAGGGAGAATGTGGCTGTAATGAAAAGGATGTGTTTCCTGGGGCCACGGGGTGTGTGCCTTACACGCTGGGGCCCGACAGGACACGGTCAGCTCGCCTCCGGAGGGTCCTCTCAGCACATGCTTCTGTGCTTCTGGGTCTCCCAGCTGAACCCCAAGGGGCGTGTGTGATGTCCCCGGGATTGTGAGTGCCCATCTTCATGAACCTTCGCCCTGAGTCCTTTAGCGTTCCCCAGTGGCCGGATGTGTCATAGGTGGAATGTGGACCAGAGAGGGTCAGGTGGGATGTGGACGCAGCGTCAGCGCCCATGCTGAGACTTACTTCTGTTCCTAGTCTCAGTCTGTCTGGTGGCATCAACGGGAACAGCCCCCTCTGTCTGATGCTAGCGTGCTCTTAAGACTTCCCTAATCCCGGGTGATCGCGCCTTTTAGCTAAAAGAGCAAGTTGTAGGCATAACCCCACTGTAAAAGCAGCCTACTTAATATAAGGCGAGTGGATTGTGTGAGAAGTTTTGGTTGGGACAAAGATGGCAATGGGTAACAAAGGGGTACGAAGACGTTGGAAATAGCGTTAGCACCGGCCTGGGTTCCTAATGCCTGCGCTCCGATTCCCTCCCGACAGTGACCGAAAGCCGAGGGGTCCTGGAGAGCATCCAGAGGTTCTCCTTGCTGCCCACCTACCTCCCTGTGACCTACCACATCAACAACGCCGACGTGTCCTTCTTCCTGAAGGAGGCCAACCAGGACATCATGCGCAACTCCAGCCTGCAGTCCCGCGTGGAGTCCTTCCTGATTTACAAATCCAAGCGGCTGCCCGTGCTGAACGCCAGCTACGGGCCCTTCTCCATCGAGCAGGTGGTGCCCCAGGACTTATTGCTGCCCTCCAGCCCCTTCGGATTCACCAACAAGTTTTCCCTCAACTGGAAACTGAAGGCGCACATCCTGCGGGACAAGGTGTACCTGAGCCGGCCCAAGGTGCAGGTGCTCTTCCACGTGCTGGGCCGGGACTGGGCGGCGCAGAGCCCCGGCGAGAGGCTGCCCTGCCTGCGCGTGTTCGCCTTCCGCGAGACCCGGGAGGTGCGGGCCGGCTGCCGGCTGCAGGGGGCCCTGGGGCTGTGCGTGGCCGAGCTGGACCTGCTGGCCGCCTGGTTCGGGCCCCCCAGCGTGGTGGCCGGGAGGAAGAAGGCGCCCGGGCCGCCCGAGGGGAGCCCCGTGGAGCTCTACTACTCCGTGCAGCCGGGGGACGCGCGCGGGGACTGTGCGGCTGGCGACGTCCGGAAGGGCAACGCCATCCGGCCGGGGAAGGACGGGCTGGACGAGGCCGTGCCCCACCTGCAGAGGATCGGGAGCGTCTTCCTCTACCAGACGGGCAGCAGACCCGCGCTGAGCGAGCTGCGTTTGGACAGCAACGTGGCCATCCTGTACTCGGCCCGGACGGCGAGGCAGGGCGACGTGCTCACCTTCCCTGTGGCCGTGTCCCGGAACTGCAGCGCCGATCGCTTCACGCTGAGGTGAGTCCCTGGGAGCACCTGTCCTTGCCGCTCCGGGGCCGGGCGGGGCCTCCAGCCTCCCGCTCTCAGGCCCCACGAGCTGCGTTCGCGCCTTCTGAGGTGGAACGCCTTCGAAATTTCATAATCGCCCCCCGGTCAGGGTAAGATGGAGAGAATAGTTTGCTCTTTCCTGGTTGGCAGTTTGGTGGTGAGGACATTCTCATTTACAGCATAGTCCAGGCCCTCCCAGAACAGTGGCGGGGACGCGGATCTGTGCCCTCGGGCTGAGCGTGGGGTCTCATCAGAAGTTTGAGGGAGGCGGGGGTGGTCCTGCTGGGCCCTTTGTGCCTCGGGGAGTCAAATAGCTCACAGTCGAGTTGAGTCGGCAAATGGGATGGCAACAGTTGTCTGAAGGAGAGAGGGTACAGTTTTGCCAACTCAGATCTATTCCAAGCCTGTGAGTTCTAAGTATGATATGGTACCAACCTCACTTAGTTTGTTTCTCTCTGGAAATAGAACTCCATGTTCAAAATATAAAAGAGCATAACGTGTGAAGAATATACAGTAGAATTTGTCAAGTAGCTTACATAAGAATATACTAAAGACAAGACATTTAGAAGGAGTACTGTGCACTTTGGGGGAAAAAACGGGTTCGTTTTCACTTGGAATGTACTATGTGAGAGAAGCTCTTTGCCTTGGCTTGATGGGATTTTCATGAAACCATTTTCTGTTTGTTTTAAACACAAGACAACTTTGCTACACAGATGCTTGAGCGTCCGTGTGATTGGGTCCTTAAAAGTATCCTGATATCGTTACCCAATGAGGAACCTTGATCTCACGTGCCACGTACAACATCCCCGATGACCCCTGAAAATAGGGTGTTTCCGTACGTGATACACGGTTTCTGTGTGGGTTTTTTAAAATTTATTTATTTGACAGAGAGAGAGAAACAGCATGAGAGGGGATAGGGTCAGAGGGAGAAGCAGGCTCCCCGCTGAGCCGGGAGCCTGATGTGGGACTCAATCCCAGGATTCCGGGATCATGACCTGAGCCGAAGGCAGTTGCTTAACCAACTGAGCCACCCAGGCGCCCTCTGTGTGGGTTTTAAAGTTCATGCCCCGATGGTCAGTTCTCTCATCCTTCTCCATGTGGGCTTCAAATCGCTTTTTCTTTGTTCTCCTTTTTCCCCTTTCTCTTTGTTTTTGTTAAGGGGTGGGGAAGTTTCAGGAAGGAATCATTCTTTCGCTTATACCTTGCACATTTAAGCTTTGCTGATTGTGACCTTTTAATCTTAACTAAAGACACAGAAACTCATGCACAACATTAATGATTGAACGTGGCTGATTCTTGGGAGGTGCAGACTTTTGGTGTAGGCTGATGGTGCATCAGGGGATTGATCCCCGGGGATTTAGGCCACAGAAACACATCTGCAGGGCTGAGGCCTCATTAGCTCTCCTTCTGTGCTCTGCAGTCAGCCCAGGATTCAGCTGGTCGCAGACTCTCTGCACGTTCTGCTGGCTTTGTGCTCTGCTTTTCCAGGATTGACGGTCTTATATAACATTCTTTGTGGCGATGGCCACTTACGTAGGGAACTGTTTTGCTGATAGAAACAAAAGGTTTGGAATAAGAAGAGCTTTGTCCTTGCATGATTTTGGACCCTCTGCCGTCCTGTAGGTTTGCCGACGGCTGGTTGTTGGTTTCCTGGGCCCAGGGTGAAAGCCCCAAGTCTCCAGGAGATGACATCTGCATGCAGCCTTTTTGGGAGGCAGTTGTATGTGCCCTATTAAATGTCACAGAAGGCTTTGTATCTGATGACCACCTATTGCACGTTAAAACGTGGGTGTCAGAGTCCTGAGGGCGGCTCTGTCATCGGCCAACTGTCACAAAGCCAGCAGAAATTTGCTTTGCTGGGCTGTGTAATCTGAGGAGTCCAGATCTTCGCAAATTCAGAAACAAACACATTTTGAAACTCCTAGATGCGGTGGCCCCACTCAGAATCCAAGGTTTGAGGATTTGGGATGTATAGCAAAAGCGTACTTGTTTCAGAGTTCACCAGCTAGAAATTTGTAAAGAAAAGATTCAGTTTTTCAGCTCAGATGATAGTGAAATTAAGAGTTCATGAATGTGTGTTGAACGTGGTGAGATGGGACGCTTTCCGTCTCCTTAGAAGCAGTAAGATCGTGCTGGCTGCCAATTTCAAAAGCTGTCATGATGAGTGAGTGATACAGGTTTGTGGCAACAGCTGGAGGTGAACCCGGTCCGGTCATGCTGTTAGCACTGAGGTTGAATTGTCCTAATTAGAAAAAAATAAAACAGTATGTCTTTTTTCATGAAGTCAATTTGACACTAATTTAACATAGCTTTCAAATATTTAGAATGAGTCCAGTTCTGCTCTGTCTGGCCATCTGCTGTAAATAACCCTGCAGGCTCCAGCCATGGATCCTCGGGTGCTTTTCTCTGAATTTGTGACTTTTGTTTCTAGACGTCCTGTGTTGACATGTTAACATGGTCAGGGGTGGGCTCATGTTTTATAGGTCAGGTGCCAGTTGGACATCCATGGCCACTTAAGGATGACCAGGGATGGGAAGGGGACTAAATTAAGTGCCACCCACAGGAGGGAGCCCTCCCAACCATATGGCAGCTGACATTTGAGCTCTTTGTCGATAATGATTGACTGCCTTCTGCCACCTCTGTTATTTCTGTGCCTGTGATCTGAGGGTGACACTCTGGCTAATACACAGGGCTTCTATTCTATGAATCAAGGTTTGTCCTGCAGATTTTCAGTAAGAGTAGTTAAAACAGTATCTGTGTGTGTGTGCAGGTGGCAATGTGCATGTGTGTGCATATGTGTGCATGTGTGCAGGTGGGTGTGTACATTAGTGTCTGTGTGTGTGTGCAGGTGGGTGTGTGCAT